AGTAGATTCATTCTGCATTTCCTGAGAGAGCAAACTAGGAGGCCAGAGTGGACATAACCATACGGCAATTTTCTGCTCCAAAAAGATGGAAACTTTTTCCATTGTTAATGATTTTAATAACCATCCGGTCTCTTTCTTTGGTGTGTCTGGATAAAGAAGGGTGGTGAGAAAAGAAGAAAAATGAGACCGTTCAAGTCAAAGGACCCCTGGTCCAGGAGAGTGGTCTGAGCTGGGAGATTCCAGACAAGGGGTGACGAGAATGACCATTATGGTCCCATTTACCTCTATTTTAGCTGAACTTCCCTCCCCACTCAGGCCACACACACATGCCGAGGACATTACTATGGCTACTGAGTACTCCCATACCCTAAAGAAAGTGTGGGGCAACCGTTGGCAGCATGTGCTAAGCAAGGGTAATGCTGGATCCCCAGTCGTGCACCTTAAGGGCAGAAGGTTAGACTTCCCTGGCAGTCCAGTGGTTAAGAATCCGTGCTTCCACCGTAGGGGCACGGGTTCGATCCCTGGTCAGGGAACTAAGAGCCCACATGCCGCACTGTGCAGCCAAAAAAAAAAAAAAAAGGGTAGAAAGAGGTGCTGTGAAGAGGACAGGACTGAGGGCCGTTTTGGAGAGAGTTAGTATCATAACATCACAAGATTAGACATGGGTTTCAAGCAGCCCTTACTATAAGCTCCACTGGTTAACTTTCATCTTGGGTAGAATCTGTTCCCGGATTTCACATTGCAGCCCTAAAACCTTTAACCATATTCTGTATTTGTATTATTGTCCTGGATCTTCAAGCAGATAATCTCAGAGGTCTTAAGAGAATGATTGTGTTCCCGTCAGTTGGATATGCTGCAGTTCAGGGAATATGTACAAATAAGTGTGAAGGCGGAGAAATGAAACCTCGAGTAACCGTTTTGAATCATTGAGACAGTTTGTGTGCCTGTGTTAATACCGCACTGGCTGATCTACCACAACCTGGAAAAACTCCAATCATCCCTTCTGTTGAAAGGCTCACTGTCTGAGTCACACATCTGCAGGGACCACCATCTGGTGGCAAATCAAGGGAGCTGCAAGATTTTAAATCTTTTTCTAAGGCCTTTTTCAGTAGAAGAACAGCCCTTTATCATTGGATTCGACCTTCCTTCGTACCCAGAGCTAAGATTCATTTAGGCCAGGGGTCAACAAGTCTCCTTTGGGCCTGTGAACTAAGAACGGTTTGTACCTTCTTTAATGGTTGGGGGGAAAAGCCAAAAGAATATTTTGTGACACAAGAAAATTATATGAAGTTCAAATTTCAATGATGACAAATTAAATTGTATAAGAAAACAGCCATACTCACTTGTTTACATATTTTCTATGGCTGCTTTCACACTACAACAGCAGAGTTGAATATTTGCAACAAAGACCATAAGGCCCACAAAGTCAAAAATATTTACTGTCTGGCCTTTTACAGAAGATGTTTGCCAATCCTGCTTTAGACCAATAACAGCTAATGCCTAGCAGTGTTAAATAAGCCAGGGGTTGCTCACTGCTTTCAAGTGTATTCGCTGGCTGATTTAGTCATTCACTGCATGATCACAGGATCAAAGAAGTTCTTGTGCACAGCTAGCACTCTCATTCCACAATGACAGGAGCAGGCTCCCTCCTGAATAGTCCATTATACCCTGTATAATTACATCATTGACAAAACTTTACCCTCTCTCTGGTCCCTGTGTTCTTACTCAAGCAGCACAGTTGCTTCCATCGTTCTTCCTTCGCTCTTAGAAATCCTTAGCTCCTAACTGCTTTCCTCCCAAGAATTCCTAAATTCACTCATTCCACATGCATTTATCAGCACATGGACCAGGTACTATACTCAGTGCCCCGATACAAAGATGATTAAAACGTAGGCCCTGTATCTAAGACATTGACCATTTAGAGAGGATTATGGAAAAGCATATAAAGATGGTGAGAGAGATGTAGGAGGCAAAGGGGAAAGGGTACTTAAGGCAGCCTGAGGAATCAGGGAAGGCTTCAGAGAAGTAGCAGACAGGGATAAGTGCGGAGGGGGAGAACCAGAACTGGAGGAGACCATTTCAAGCCCAAGGACACAGCAGCAGGAGCAGAGATGTGGAGGTGAAGAAACAGCATGACATGGGCAGAAAATTACAATCAGCTAGGTATTCTGGGAGCTACAGAAGCACATGTGTTATACTTCTTTATCATTCTGGCACCAGACTATCACCCTTTATGTCCCAGCTTTTCATATACATTTGAGAGATAGTCTAACAGCAAGAATTAATGTTTGAATGCTTGAAATTGTGCTTTATTTGCACCACCTCATAGGTTTTCACAGCACCCTTTGAGGTGGGTATTATTGAGCCCTCCTAGTTAAAAAGCAGCAGCATCTCCTAAGTATAAACCCCAGAGAAACTCTCAGGTGTGTGCACAAGGAGACTGCCCAAGAAGGTTAAAGCAGCACTCTCTGTAAAAGCAAAAATGGGAAATAAGCTCATAGTCTTATGAAAGGAGAACGGACAGCTCATGTGCATTCATTCAATGGATGTCATAGAGATGTGAAAGGGAATGAATTAGAACCTCACATCTCAGCAGAGCTTAACATCAAAAAACAATGGTGAGGGGCTTCCCTGGTGGCGCAGTGGTTGAGAGTCCACCTGCCGATGCAGGGGACATGGGTTCGTGCCCTGGTCCGGGAAGAACCCACATGCCACGGAGCGGCTAGGCCCGTGAGCCATGGCCGCTGAGCCTGCGCGTCCAGAGCCTGTGCTCCGCAACAGGAGAGGCCACAACAGTGAGAGGCCCGCGTACCGCAAAAAAACACAAAAACACAAAACAAAAAACAATGGTGAGTGAAAAAAGCAAACTGTAGGGGAATAAACAGCAGGCATAATAACATTTATATAAAGTTTTAAATCATGTAAAGCAATACTTCATGTTAGTTAGGGATAAATACGTATGTAGTAAAAATACACATATAAAGAAAGGCATGGGCTTCCCTGGTGGCACAGTGGTTAAGAATCCACCTGCCAATGCAGGGGACACGGGTTCAAGCCCTGCTCAGGGAAGATCCCACATGCCGCAGAGCAACTAAGCCCGTGCGCCACAACTACTGAGCCTGTGCTCTGGAGTCCACGAGCCACAACTACTGAGCCCACATGCCACATCTACTGAAGCCCAAGCGCTCTAGAGCCTGTGCTCCGCAGCAAGAGAAGCCCACGAACGGCAATGAAGAGTAGCCCCGCTCGCCACAACTAGAGAAAGCCTGCGCACAGCAACGAAGACCCAACACAGCCAAAAATAATAAATAAATAAAAATAAATAAAAATTTTTTAAAAGGCATGAGAATGAGAAATACTGAATTCATGATAGTATTTACTCCTAAGGGGAGGAAGAGTTCTTTAGGAAGTAGGGAGAGGGTGTTTCAGGAAGAAGTAGAAGATACAATAAACTGAGCTATGCAGTAGCTTGGTATTTAGGGGAACCAATAAAGGTTTAATGTTGGTGAATCATCAAGTGAATGCAGGGTGGGGAGGTGAGAACAGCAGGAAGATAATGATATCAGGCAGGTGCACAGAGGTCCAGGAATAGCAGTCATGTTTGACTTTCTCCACCAGAATACGGGGAACCAGGATGACTTCCAGATGGAACCCTTTGGCAGTATGGAGAGTAGATTGGAGGGGTGAAATGAGAGGAAGGATAAGTTAGGCAGCTATTGCCATGGCACTAACAAAAGACGATAAGAACCTGAAATTGGTCAACAGTAGTGTGACAGGAAAGGAGAGCATACCCAAGAGAAACTTTTGCACAGTGCACCCAGGGACATGCCCATCAACAGGAAAATGGGTGGAATTTGCTACAGCAATTAAATGAATAAATAACACCTATATGCAACAGCTTGGATGAACCTCGAAGTGTCCAGTGAAACAAGTTCCTGAATACTTCTAGAGAAAGACATAAATCTTATGAGATTCAGAAACAATCTAAACTTTTTTTCATCACACATATATATGATAAAGAGATATACTTACGGGGATTCCCCTGGTGGTCCAGTGGGTAAGACTCCATGCTCCCAAGGCAGGGGACCCGGGTTCGATTTCTGGTGGAGGAACTAGATCCGCATGCATGCCCCAACGAAAAGATCTCGCGTGCTGCAACTAAGACCCTGCGCAGCCAAAATAAATAAATATGTATATTTTAAAGATACGTGTATATATATATGAAAGGAAATGATGACTACAAACCATGGTAATGATTTCTTTGGGAGACAGGGAACGAAAGGATGAATGTGTGTGTGTATAAATATACGCATATACTGAGGGAGCCAGAAGGAGAGAGAAAAACGTCACTTATGGAGCAATGATGACAACGTATTATAACCAAAGATTTTGCTCAGTCTACTCTGTGTATTAAAGGTTCTAACAAAGAAAAGAAAAACAGATAAAACAGGGAAGCATATATTTTTCAGATATTTTGGAGGCAGAATCCGTAGATTTCCTAACTGTTTTTCCTGGTGGTCTGAGATTCACTCTCCCAAGGTGAGCGGCCCCACGAGCGTTTCCTTCCTTCTAACGGAGAGACCAGCAGCAGCCGAAGAACGGCAGGCGCGAGCCAGATTAGAACCGAGCCCCGGAAGTAGCGGACGAAGGGGGCGGGGTAAACAGGAAGGCGGGGCTAAACGGGGCTTTCTGGGAGCGGGGCTGCTGGGCAAGCGCAGTAGCGCGCCTCGCCGCCATGGCGGCGGTGCCGTCCAGTCAGCCGGTGGTGGTGGCGGCGACTTCCCCTGCGGAAGTCAGGTCTCCGCCTCTTGCCCCCACCCCGCTAGCTCGGCGGCGGAGGCAGCGGCTGTCCCTGCCTCTCCGCCTACTCCACCTCGGCCTACCCACCGGCCGGCGGCGTTGGCGGGGAGGGGGACAATAGTTGTAGACGGCCGCCCCTGCCTCAGAGAAGGTGAGTTCCCGCCCCGGCAGCGGGGGCGGCCCAGGCGTTCAGCCCCCTCGACCCACGGCCCAGGAGAGGCCGGGCGGGCCCGGAGAGTACGCTCCCCTCTCCACCCGCCACCCCCGGAAACGGGCGCCGGGGCCTCCACGCGGATCGCTGCCGGGGAAGCTGAGGTTGGAGCGGGAGAGAGGCGACCAGGCCGAGGCCGTGGATCTGAAGCGTCAGGGAGAGGGAAGGGGGTGATGAGGACACTCGGAGATCGAGGGGACAGAGACGAGGAGAGAAAAGGCTCCAGACGTGGAAGGGCGTAGACCTGCGCAGGGTGAAATCAACATCCTGGAAAGTAGAGACCTCACTCACACGTGGGGAGAAGTGGAGTTCGGAGTTCGGGGAGAGTAGGAAGTAAACACGCGAGCTTAAAGGTGCCGGGCCCTAGAGGAGAGAAGGGGGTGAGGCTTTTGAGGGATCACTTTGTAGAGTTTGCCCGGGTTTTTGAGGATAACGCCGTGTAAAACAAGCCTCTAAGATTTACAGCCCTATCTTGACAGTGGTCTGAGTTTTAATATGTACCTGCCAGCGTCAAAGCTAATAAAGCAGGACATCGGGGCGGCGAAAACAGCTTTTATTCAGCAACTACTGACAGTAGGAAAAGAGCTGAGCTCCATTCCGATTTGCGCAGAGGTGTCCGGGGGGATTTAAAGAGAAAATGTAGGAATGGGGCAAGGTGGAGCTCAAGTAGAGGCAGGGACGTGCAGAATTACAAAGGGTTGGGTAGCGTCCTTGCAGCAGGCGAGCTGTGTCAGTTTGCTGGCAGTTACGGAAGTGAGGATTCTTTTTTCCCACAGGGACTGGGAGACAGAGGCCCTGTCCTTCCTGGTGATTACGCTGCAAAGGAATGGCTTCCATATCCTTGAGAAAGACACTCCTAAGTTGTAGGAGGTACACACATACATCTCAGAGGGACAGAGCAAGGGTTCACAATCGTAATCCCTTTTTAGTTAAGTACTAAAGAGCGGCCAGGGACCTGTCATCGGGTGTTGGCTAGAACAAACAGTAAATGTCTTTTGACAGCCCCAAGTTTTTCCAGATCTGAGCTCAAAATGGGGCTGGTTCATCCGAGGGCCGTAGCCACAGGCTGCTGGAGGCCAAGTTAAAGTTTGGTCAAGCCTTTGTGCAGAAGTTTGGAAGGAGTATATCTGCCTAGAGTTTTCACCAGCACATTTTCCCTAACACAAAAAGCTATTTCTTGATCATCTCAATCTAAGAGATGTTTGAGTTTCTACAATTACTATATACCTGCAAACAAACTGCTGGTTCCAAACCCTGAGTTTAGGCTTTAAGGAAGTTTTGGAAAGGATTTTAGACGGTGGAGCTTGATCCCACTGCAGAAGATCTAGTAAAACATTACGCCATCTTCATTTTCATAATTAATTTCTAGTATTTGCAGTGTTGCCTTATGTTGCTTTTTGTCTCCAGAGAGAAAGATGGTGGAAGCCAGAACATTGTTGGATAATTTAATTTCTTTTTTCCTGAGGGACAACAGTAAATATAGTAACTTCATTAAAATAATTTTTATTTTCATCCTCTTCCACAATATACTCTATTTTTGTGTGGTATTCGGTAATCTTTTATACCTTTCACTTGGAGGAATGGCAAACAGTAAAGTATTATAAATTTCTTAAAACATTTTGTAAGAACTTTATATAAATTCCATTCACTAAAAATGGAAATTAGAATTTCATTGCAACCAAATGATGTGCCATTAAGTCCCTTAGTGAAGACAACCTGTGGAAGACTAGATTTAGTGTCTTCAATCAACCTGGGTTAGTATGATTGTTAAGATATTAAAAAATAAAATCTCTTGAATCTTCTGCTTTCGTACCAGATTTCCTGCCTTTCACTAACAAGTAAGCCTGAGCAGTTTATATGTGTCAAGACTACAATTCATTTTAGCTCCCATGGCCACATCACAGGAAGATTTGGAAACAGTTTCTTACGAAAAAAAGAAAAAAAAATACAGCTTTCTGCCAGACTTGGTTTTTTGCAATGACTTTGAATATGTGCAATTACTAAACACTTTAAATCAGTTCACACGATGCTAGCAGTTACTTTTGTATACTGCTTCAAGGTGGTATGAGAATACTGGAATAGGAGTCTTGACTGTTAAGTTCTAATGCTAATTTCTTAACTAGCTGTATGACCCTAAGTCCCAAACTTCCTGGACTTGAGTTTTGTCATCTGTGGGGAGGGGAGTTGGACTAGCCCAACTGAGTGGTTCTCAAATCAGGGGTGCTTTTGCCCCACCCCCTCCTCAGAGGACATTTAAGTGTTTGGAGCCTTTTTTTTTTTCCCCTTGGTTTTTGCCACTGGACAAGAAAGGGCTTGGTGATTACAGGTGCTACTGGCATCTACTTGGTATAGGCCAGAGATGCCACAAACAACCTAAAATGCACAGGCCATCAACACAAACAACAAAGGATTATCCTACTGAAAACGTCAGTAGTGTCGAGGTTGAGGAAGTCTGCACTAACTAAACTGAGCTCCTTGACAGCTCTAAAATTGTGCACTGATTTTGCTGTTCCATACTGGTATTCTTTCCATGGCCTGGCTGTGTACTAGAACAGCAATTCATAAAACATGAAACTTTGACCTCTAATGGCCATCAAATGACATTCAAAGACTAATGAAGTCTGTTGAGTTATGCTTGAGACCACTAGGATTTGAAAAACAAAATACAACTTGTTACCTAAAAATTACCTCTTGTTGCTTTGAGTAAATATCCTTAATTAACTTTTCAGTTAACTGCTACTTAACACATGGTGAATATTTGATAGGCTGTTTAAAACACTAGTAGGAGTAGGACCCAAGGTATTTTTAGTTTAGATATTTATAAAAGCCTAACGTTATTGCCAATATAATAGTACATGAACAAGAAGAGAAAAAAAAATTTGCTTAGTACTTGGCCAGTATTTTTTTTTTCTTAAAAGACTATATTAGGAGATTCCTCCAAAAGGTATCAAAGAATTGGCATGCTTCCAGTTATTAAAATTCCACTCTCACTTTCAAGATCCTGATACTATTAAAACGGCTGATCCATTTTCACCTATAGCTGTAACACTCTTACAAGGAGCTCCTCTATATCGGGCTTGATAATAAACAAAGGTCAGTAAAGATTAAAAATTAGCAATCAGGGAATATATGGACGGTGTAAGATTATAAATAGGAAATTGGGAAACTCAATCACAAAAACCCAAAGAAATACCACATGACCAGACTTATATGAAAAGAAATATACATTGCATTTATGGTCAAGGGAAAGATTTTCCAGGACACTTTGTAATTCATTCAGTCAAGTTTCTCAGATATTTTTGATAGTTAAAAATGTTCTATTGAGGGACTTCCCTGGTAACGCAGTGGTTGAGAGTCCGCCTGCCGATGCAGGGGACACGGGTTCGTGCCCCGGTCCGGGAGGATCCCACGTGCTGCGGAGCGGCTGGGCCCGTGAGCCATGGCCGCTGGCCCTGCGCGTCCGTGAGCCTGTGCTCCGCAACGGGAGAGGCCACAACAGTGAGGGGCCCGCGTACCGCAAAAAAAAAAAAGTTCTACTGAGTAATAATATTCCTAAGAAATCAGTAAAAACAAAACCACAGCAAACAGTTCTTGCTTATCTGCTTTTTAGGAAAAAAAGTTAGACTCATTTTAAGAATGAAGAACATTTCTGAATTCTTATTGAATCATAAATCCATTTATATAGCAATTGCCAAAAATGTTTCTTTGTTTTCTTGACAGTAAGCAGAGATTCGAGTCAAATGACAGAAAATCTAGCTAACAGCCGTTCTTACGGTTATTCAGAAAACAGTTAGAGCTCCTACTATGGACCAGGTACTGTGTGTTAGGACAAGAGCATTCACAGACCCATTCACGTTTACTGATCTTTTAGAAGGACTGGCATGTATTTGGTGGCATTCTGAGATAGGATGTCTGCCATTGGTCCAAGTAAAACTAATTTCACAAGCAAGAACCTTGAGCTAGCTAGCCATAGATTACTTATAATTATTGATGTTCAAAGGTTTAGTTTAAGTTAAGACATATATTTTATGTTAAGTATGTAACTAGTGCCCGTAATTAATGATTTTGTTAATTTCTTTGTATTTTGTCATTGGAAATATGCCATAGTAAATCCTCAGTTACTTTTATGGTTGTCGTATTAGTGTAAAATAGCTAGAGCTTGGCAAACTCATAGGTCACATACTAATCTCATTTCCTGAAAAGGCAAGGTTAATAACTAACACAGTTAAGAATATTCATGATGCTAACAGGTACACGCTGCATCTCTCAAAACTTCTTTTTGACCCTCAAAGTCAAAACAAAAAGAAATAAAACAGCATACTTTGGTTAATGGTTTCTTTGGGGGTTTTTTTGGCCGCACCACTCGGCATGCAGAATCTTATTAGTTCCCCAACCAGGGATCGAACCTGTGCCCCCTGCAGTAGAAGCGCGGAGTCCTAACCACTGGACCACCAGGGAAGTCCCAGCATACTTTGGTTAAGATAACAGAATCAGTTACCTAGTATTGTAAAACTTAGTGCTGTGTTCTACTTAGTCTTTCCTAAGATTTAATGGTATTAAAAGATTGCAAATCTCAAGAGCCAGGAACAAGGCAAGGATATCCAACCTCACCACTTCTTTTCAGTATTGTACTAGAGGCCTTAACCAGGATAGTCAGACAAGAAAAAGAAAAACGTTTACAGATAGGAGAGGAAGAAATCACACTGTCTTTATTTGCAGATGCTATGATCATCTATGTAGAAAACCCCAAGGAATTTTGGGAAATGCTACTAGAATAAGAAGTGAGTTTATCATAAAAGACACGAAATACAAGGTCAATATACAAATCCAATAGTATTTCTAAATGTTAGCAACAATTAGACATTGAGATTTTTAAAAAAATACTATTTACTATTGCATCAAAAACCAAAATACTTGGGCTTCCCTGGTGGCGCAGTGGTTGAGAGTCCGCCTGCCGATGCAGGGGACACGGGTTCGTGCCCCGGTCTGGGAAGATCCCACATGCCGCGGAGCAGCTGGGCCTGTGAGCCATGGCCGCTGAGCCTGCGCGTCCGGAGCCTGTGCTCCGCAACGGGAGAGGCCACAACAGTGAGAGGCCCGTGTACCGCAAAAAAAAAAAAAAACTAAAATACTTTTGGATAACTTTAACAAAGTACAGTGGATGCTACATAACATTGCTGAGAGAAAGAAGATGCAAATAGTGGGGAAAATTGTCTTTTAATGCTTCTTAGTGAACTAAATTTAGAAGTATAGGACCATGCCATTAATTTGGTATATTTATTAAGGAGGAAGAATTTATTAAAGGGAACCTAATTACACCTAAAACTTAGCAAATTAACATTCCTAATTTTGCTCAAACATTTTTTTCTTCAGTGATTAAAGATATTTAATAAATATTTTTAAAACCTTTATGCTGTACTATGTTTTAATACCATGTCACAACACAAATCAAATAATGTGCTGTGGACGTGAAAAATTTTGGTAAATTTTTCACTCAAATTGAGTTGATTTGCTCGTTCAACCTATTAAACCTATTGAGGCATATTAAAAACATTTCATACAATGCAAAGTTAAATTCAGGTTTTGCTGTTTCTAAAAGGGTGGTTGGAATGTAACAAATTCTCTCTGACAGGTCTAGAATTAGGAAAAGTGGAGTGGTTCTTAGTATTTTATTAAGATATGAAGCATTTTTTAGACAGTTTTGAATTACGAGTAATTCATACTCTTCATGTGTTTCATATTTAACTCAGTTCACGTGCAGTTTTTATTACTTTAGCTTTTGCAATGGCTTTAGCTACTAATATTGAAATAAAAAAGACCAAACCTTGTACAGCAATTGAATAACAACGTGCATAGTTTCATTTCTCCAAAATAAAAGATTCCATTTTCTTTCTCTTTCCACTATGATATCTTTCCTAGAAGTAAATGGCATTGTGAGTGTTGGTCTATAACTAGGCTTGTGGTGTACAAATAGGAATGTCAAGTTTTCAGAATTTTGCTAGATTTTTTCCAAAAATTTTAGAAGGTACAACTGAAAAAATACTCCAGATTAGTTTCAGAAGAGACAAACTATTTCTTGCTTGAGACCTAATACCAGCTTGTAAATAGCCTGTGTGTTTCTGCTTGACATTCCATATTCTTTTAGACATTATATGTAGCAGACATTAACACAGGACGTAAACTGAAATCTTTATAAAGAGTTGGTTTAAAATCAGAGCAATCAGAAAAGATAATAAGGATCAAGTTGAACTTTCAGCTTTCATTAAAAAAAAAAACAAAAAACAAAGTCCCTCTGAAACATGAGTTAGCTTGAAATACAAAGAATAGATAGATACTCCTGTCAGGCACTCCTGACCTGTTTACCCATAACCTTTTCTACTTTCTGTAGTTACTAGAATAATTGGTTGGAAAAACATTTCATTCTGTCAGTTAAGTAGATGAAATCCTGAATAGCAATAAAAACAGCTCAGCTGTACAGCACTCAGTATGTGCCATGCACTCTTCTAAGCGCTTTACATTTACTAATTCCCTTAAGACACACAACAACTCTGAGGTGTGTGTTATATCCTGTATTAGAGGTTGAGAAACTTGACCAAGGTCATATAACTAACAAATGCCAGAACTGACTCGAGTCCCTATGTCTGGCTCCTAGAAGCAGTGAGGTAACTAACATAGTATGACAACCAGTAGTTCTGCATAGGTGACTCGAGCTTTGTTAGGTGGGTGATCTTTCTAGAAACAAAGCCAACACTTAAAACTCCAGTTTAACAAATTAAGGTACAATTTTTTTTTCAAAACGTTCATTATAGATCTTTAAGGTCCTCTCGTACACTTTACTGAGGTATACTTAACAATAAACAACACTTATTTAAAGTGTACAGTTCAATGAGTTTTTGACAGGTGTATACTCCTATGAAACCACCTTCATAAACAAAATGCCGAATGTTTCCACCAACCCCAGCAGTTTCCTCCTGCCCCTTTACAGTCCATCCCTCCCTCCACCCCTGTCCCTGGCAACCACTAATCTGCTTTCTATCACTATAGATTAGTTTGCATTTCTAGAACTTTTTATAAGTAGACTCATAGTAGGTACTCTTTTGTGTCTTACTCAACATGATGATTTTGTGATTCATCCATGTTGTATGTCTTGCTATTTCGTTCATTTTTACAGCTGAATAATTCTGTTGTATTTATATACCACATTTTGTTTACCCATTCCCTTGTTGATAGACATTAGGGTTGTTTCAGTTTTGGGCTATTACAAATAAAGCTGCTGTGAATATTCATGTACAGGTCTTTGCGTGGACATATGTTTTCAGTTCTCTTGGGCAAATATATATGAGTGAAATGACTGGATCATATAGTAGGTATTTAACTTTTAAAGAAATTGTCAGATTGTAAAGTTGTACCATTTTAAATTATAACTAGTAGTGTATGGGAGTTCCAGTTGTTCAGCGTCCTTACCAACACTTGGTATTTTCAGTCCTTTTAATTTAGTCATTCTGATGATGGTGTAGTATTATCTTCTGGTTTTAATTTGCATTTACTTGGCTGTTTATATATATTTTTCTGAAATGTCTGTTCAAATTGTTTGCCCATTTTTAACTGAGTTTGTCTTATTATTGAGTCATAGAGTTCTTTATTGATTCTAGATATAAGTCCTTTGTCTGATGTATGAAATAAGAATGCGTTCCACCATTTTGTGGCTAACTTTTCATTTTTTTTAATGGAGAGCTGTGTAAAGCCCTGGAGATCAGAAAATATTTCAGGTTTTGTAAAAGCGGAGAAGTGGATTCCAGACGTGGAGAAGTTTTACATCAGTTGGAAAGGCAGCCAAGCATATCAGTTAATAACAGATTCTGGAGCCAGACTGCTCCTGTCATTTATTAACTGCAATCACAGACATGTTCCTTAACTTTTCTATACCTCAGTTTCCTCATCTATTAACTATGAATAATAACCGTACTTAGCCCATAGGCTTCTTAGGGAGGATAAAATTAGTTACTATTCTTAAGTGCTGAAATAGTACCTGGTACATGGTAAGGGCAATGCTGGGTAAGTGTTACAGAGCAAATAATTAATAGGTGACTTGTAAATGTAATACTTTGAAGTGACCATAAAAGGCAATTTCAGGTTTACTAAAAGTACAAGTGATGCCATGCCTTATTTTCTTTTGTGAACCATCTGGTAGATCAGAGGAATGTTGTGGGATCATATTCTTCAGTGAGGACACTGTTTTCCATGAGATTTTGGGGTATCCAGCAGTGTGCCAGGAGGTACTTGAAGTTTAAATGGCACATTTTATTTAAAGATTAAGTTAAAACTTTTACATAAAATGGATGTTTTAAGACTAGAATTCAAGAAGTTCATGAGTTTTTAAGGTTAATCATGAAACTTGAAATACATCTTTCTGTGATTGATCTCTAGGCTGTATACTCCCTAGACCTCCAGGCAATAAGAGTTCACTTGTCTGACTGTATAGAATGCTTTGGTCAAAATGATTGAGATTGAGAACGATTGCTGTAGAAAGAATAGTTACAATTTAGGAAGTCATGTCATGTATTTTTCAAATATTAATAAAATGGAAAAATAAGACATTTATATAGTACAAATAGATTTCAATAATCAGACTCATAAGAAGGAAGGTGGTGGGGAGCACAGTGGAGAAGCATAGAGTGTTCACATAAAGATGCTGAATTTAATTTTGGAATAAACTCAGATTCTATGAAATTCTTAATGTCTTTCTTATTGGGAATGAATAGATCAATCCTAGATGAAGGAAAGAGGTGAATTCTTTGTAGCATGCCATAGGTATTATCTTACTGTCTTCCTACTTAAAGTTTTCGCCAGTAACATGAATGAACACATAAACTGAATGCATATAAAAACTATGTGTGGGAAAAGTAGCAAATGTCAAGATTAAAACAATTTGAATTTTAAAGATCGTCAGAGGTAGGAATGGTGGCCTAAACCCATTACAAGATGAAATGTAAAGTCCTGCATTTAGAGAAATTAGTCAATTACATTAAGTACCAGATGGGAGAAGACAGCCAATGTGGGGAGAGAGATGCTACCTCTGGGATTTTAGCGATTACAGAGGTCAGTAGAAGTCAGTAACATGTCTGCTGTAAGACACGAAGTACTAAGGCTGGATGCCCCAGATCATTTCCATAAAGTCCAGAGTTCTACTGGTGCCCTAATAACTTCTCCTTCAGAATGGTATTTTCTGGACTAAAAAATATATTACCATAGTAAATATCAGAGGCTTACTAGATGTTTTTATACTAAAATTGTCATTCTAATAAGCAAAAAGCCAGTACTTTAGCCTTGCAAGCACTTAGGAAATTAAGGTTTGAGATGGTATATGAAATGATATTCAGTTGAAGGTTGAAAATATTACCCTAAATGTCTTACCTCCCTTTATTTTATTCATAGATACCACGTTGAATGAGCAAAGACTGAACTTTTTACAGATACCTTTTGTAAAAGGCTTGTAAGGAATAGTGCCATAATTTGAATTGCAGTGGATTTCACGTTATGAGGTAGGTTGAAAATAAAGGGCTTCTAAATTGTTAGTATTTTTTATACTGAAGCTGGTACTTTGACTTGAAAGCAAGCAAAACTCTTAAAAGTGTTAATTCAGATCAGATATATTAAAACTCATGAGTGCTATCTTCAAATTCAGAGGTGTAAACTTTGGATCACTTTCTCTAAAATAAACAATATTATTTATTTTTCAAGGGTAAAATACATACTCAAAAAGTTAGCTTTACTTTCAGATTTACAGGGAGCAAAATAAGAAATTGAAGATGCATTTTATGCGTTTTCAGATGATTGATCTATGTTGATGTAATTCTAAACTTCGCATTATTTAATTGTTATAACAAGATTGTGTTTGGTTTCAGGTAAATGAGAGTGGAGTATTGGACAAAAAATAGATTTTTAAATCTCTGCATCATGGTTTTTAGCTCAGTTGTTGCACCGTGTCACTATTTGGGGAAAGTTCATGCTAAGAAACTGAAGCAATTAATGGGTGAATATGATCAAATTTCTCCACCAAGTTCTCAACCTGATAAGGGTAAGGTTCCATTCACCTCTTCATTGATCTCTGCACAATCTGTGATCTTTTGGGATTGGATTCTTTGACTCTGCATGTCTTCAAGGTTCATCCACGTTGTACTATTTATTAGTATTTCATTCCTTTTTATTGCTGAATAATATTCCATTGTGTGAATTGCCACATTTTATTTATCCATTCATCAGTTGATGATCACTGAGTCATTTCTGCTCTTAGCTGTTAGGAATAGTGCTGCTGTGTACATTTTTGTACAACTTTTTGTGTGGACATAGACTTTCAATCCTCTTGCGTTGAAACCTAAGAGTGAAATTGCTGGGGTTACGTGGTAACTCTCTGTTTGACACTTTGAGGAATTGCCAAACTGTTTTCCAAAGTAGCTGCACATTTTATATTCGCACCAAGAATGAATGAAGTTTCCAGTTTTTCCTCCTTTTTGTCAACACTTATTATTATGTCTTTTTTTATACAGCAGGTTCTTATGAGTTATCCATTTTATACATATTAGTGTATATATGTCAATCCCAATCTCCCAGTTCATCACACCACCACCCCACCACCACTTTCCCCCCTTGGTGTCCATACGTTTGTTCTCTACATCAGTGTTTCTATTTCTGCCCTACAAACAGGTTCATCTGTACCATTTTTCTAGGTTCCACATATACGCGTTAATATGTGATATTTGTTTTTCTCTTTCTGACTTACTTCACTCTGTATGACAGTCTCTAGATCCATCCATGTCTCTGCAAATGACCCAATTTAGTTCCTTTTTATGGCTGAGTAGTACTCCATTGTATATATATACCACATCTTCTTTATCCATTCGTCTGTCGATGGGCATTTAGGTTGCTTCTATGACCTGGCTATTGTAAATAGTGCTGCAGTGAACATTGGGGTGCATGTGTCTTTTTGAATTACAGTTTTCTGTGGGTGTACGCCCAGCAGTGGGATTGTTGGGTCATATGGTAATTCTATTTTGAGTTTGGTTTTTTTTTTTTTGCGATACACGGACCTCTCACTGTTGTGGCCTCTCCCGTTGCGGAGCAACAGGCTCCGTATGCACAGGCTCAGCGTCCATGGCTCACGGGCCTAGCCGCTCCACGGCATGTGGGATATTCCCGGACCAGGGCACGAACCTGTATCCCCTGCATCGGCAGGTGGACTCTCAACCACTGCGCCACCAGGGAAACCCTATTTTTAGTTTTTTAAGGAACCTCCATACTGTTCTCCATAGTGGCTGTATCAATTTGCATTCCCACCAGTAGTGCAAGAGGGTTCCCTTTTCTCCACACCCTCTCCAGCATTTGTTGTTTGTAGATGTTCTTATGATGCCCATTCTAACTGGTGTGAGGTGATAACCTCATTGTAGTTTTGATTTGCATTTCTCTAATAATTAGTGATGTTGAGCATCCTTTCATGTGTTTGTTGGCCATCTGTATGTCTTCTTTGGAGAAATGTCTATTTAGGTCTTCTGCCCATTTTTGGATTGGGTTGTTTGTTTGTTTTTTAATATTGAGCTGCATGAGCTGTTTATATATTTTGGAGATTAATCCTTTGTCCGTTGATTCGTTGGCAAATATTTTCTCCCATTCTGAGGGTTGTCTTTTCATCTTGTTTGTAGTTTCCTTTGCTTTGCAAAAGCTTTTAAGTTTCATTAGGTCCCATTTGTTTATTTTTGTTTTTATTTCCATTACTCTAGGAGGTGGATCAAAAAAGATCCTGCTGTGATTTATGTCAAAGAGTGTTCTTCCTATGTTTTCCTCTAAGAGTTTTATAGTGTCTGGTCTTACATTTAGGTCTCTAATCCATTTTTAGTTTATTTTTATGTATGGTGTTAGGGAGTGTTCTAATCTCATTCTTTTACATGTAACTAGCTGTCCAGTTTTCCCAGCACCACTTATTGAAGAGACTGTCTTTTCTCCATTGTATATCCTTGCCTCCTTTGTCATAGATTAGTTGACCATAGGTGCGTGGGTTTATCTCTGGGCTTTCTATCCTGTTCCATTGATCTATATTTCTGTTTTTGTGACAGTACCATATTGTCTTGATTACTGTAGCTTTGTAGTATAGTCTGAAGTCAGGGAGTCTGATTCCTCCAGCTCCGTTTTTTTCCCTCAAGACTGCTTTAGCTATTCAGGATCTTTTGTGTCTCCATACAAATTTTAAGATTTTTTGTTCTAGTTATGTAAAAAGTGCCATTGGTAATTTGATAGGGATTGCATTGAACCTGTAGATTGCTTTGGGAGTATAGTCATTTTCACAATATTGATTCTTCCCATCCAAGAACATGGTATATCTCTCCATCTGTTGGTATCATCTTTAATTTCTTTCATCAGTGTCTTATACTTTTCTGCATACAGATCTTTTGTCTACCTAGGAAGGTTTATTCCTAGGTATTTTATTCTTTTTGTTGCAGTGGTAAATGGGAGTGTTTCCTTAATTTCTCTTTCTGATCTTTCGTTGTTAGTGTATAGGAAGGCAAGAGATTTCTGTGCATTAATTTTCTATCCTGCAACTTTACCAAATTCATTGATTAGCTCTAGTAGTTTTCTGGTGGCATCTTTAGGGTGCTCTATGTGTAGTGTCATGTCATCTGCAGGCAGTGACAGTTTTACTTCTTCTTTTGCAATTTGTATTCCTTTTATTTCTTTTTCTTCTCTGATTGCCATGGCTAGGACCTGCAAAGCTATATTGAATAATAGTGGCGAGAGTGGACATCCTTGTCTTGTTCCTGATCTTAGAGGAAATGCTTTTAGTTTTTCACCATTGAGAATGATGTTGCTGTGGGTTTGTCATATATGGCCTTTATTATGTTGAGGTAGGTTCCCTCTATGCCCACTCTCTGGAGAGTTTTTATCATAAATGGGTGTTGAATTTTGTCAAAAGCTTTTCCTGATCTATTGAGATGATCATATGGTCTTTCTTCTTCAATTTGTTAATATGGTGTATCACATGGATTGATTTGCATATATTGAAGAATCCTTGCATCCCTGGGATAAATCCCACTTGATCACGGTGTATGATCCTTTTAATGTGTTGTTGGATTCCGTTTGCTAGTATTTTGTTGAGGATTTTTGCATCTATATTCATCAGTGATATTAGTCTGTAATTTTCTTTTTCTGTAGTATCTTTTTTGTCTGGTTTTGGTATCAGGGTGATGGTAGCCTCATAGAATGAATTTGGGAGTTTTCCTTCCTCTGCAGTTTCACCTGTGAAGCCATCTGGTCCTGGACTTTTGTTTTGGAAGATTTTTAATCACAGTTTCAATTTCATTACTTGTGATTGGTCTGTTCATATTTTCTATTTCTTCCTGGTTCAGTTTTAGAAGGTTATACCTATGTGTCTATGCCTTTCTAAGAATGTGTCTATTTCTTCCAGGTTGTCCATTTTATTGGCATAGAGTTGCTTGTAGTAGTCTCTTAGGATGCTTTGTATTTCTGCAGTGTCTGTTGTAACTTCTCCTTTTTCATTTCTAATTTCATTGATTTGAGTCCTCTCCCTCTTTTTCTTGATAAGTCTGGCTAATGGTTTATCAATTTTGTTTATCTTCTCAAAGAACCAGCTTTTAGTTTTATTGATCTTTGCTATTGTTTTCTTTGTTTCTATTTCATTTATTTCTGCTCTGATCTTTATGATTTCTTTCCTTCTACTAACTTCGGGTTTTGTTTGTTCTTCTTTCTCTAGTTCCTTTAGGTGTAAGTTTAGATTGTTTGTTTGAGATTTTTATTGTTTCTTGAGGTAAGCTTATATTGCTATAAACTTCCCTCTTAGAACTGCTTTTGCTGCATCCCATAGGTTTTGGATCGTCATGTTTTCATTGTCATTTGTCTCTAGGTAGTTTTTGATTTCCTCTTTGATTTCTTCAGTGATCTCTTGGTTATTTAGTAACGTATTGTTTAGCCTCCATGTGTTTGTTTTTTTACATTTTTTCCCCTGTAATTGATTTCTAATCTCATAGCGTTGTGGTCAGAAAAGATGCTTGATATAATTTCAATTTTCTTAAATTTACTGAGGCTTGATTTGTGACCCAAGATGTGATCTATCCTAGAGAATGATCCGTGAGCACTTGAGAAGAAAGTGTAATCTGCTGTTTTTGGATGGAATGTCCTATAAATATCAGTTAAATCTATCTGGTCTATTGTGTTATTTAAAGCTTGTGTTTCCTTATGAATTTTCTGTTTGGATGATCTGTCCATTGATGTAAGTGAGGGGTTAAAGTCCCCCATTATTATTGTGTTACTGTCAATTTCCTCTTTTATAGCTGTTAGTGGTTGCCTTATGTATTGAGGTGCTCCTATGTTGGGTGCATATATATTTATAATTGTTATATCTTCTTCTTGGATTGATGCCTTGATCATTATGTAGTGTCCTTCCTTGTCTCTTGTAACATTCTTTATTTTAAATTCTCTTTTATATGACATGAGTATTGCTACTCCAGCTTTCTTTTGATTTCCATTTGCATGGAATATCTTTTTCCATCCCCTCACTTTCAGTCTGTATGTGTCCCTAGGTCTGAAGTGGGTCTCTTGTAGACAGCATATATATGGGTCTTGTTTTTGTATCCATTCAGCCAGTCTGTGTCTTTTCGTTGGAGTGTTTAATCCATTCACATTTAAGGTAATTATTGATATGTATGTTCCTATTACCATCTTCTTAATTGTTTTGGGTTTGTTTTTGTAGGTCATTTTCTTCTCTTGTGTTTCCCACTTAGAGAAGTTCCTTTAGCGTTTGTTGTAGAGCTGGTTTGGTGGTGCTGAATTCTCTTAGCTTTGCTTGTCTGTAAAGCTTTTGATTTCTCCATCGAATCTGAATCAGATCCTTGCCGGGTGGAGTAATCTTGGTTGTAGGTTCCTCCCTTTCATCACTTTAAGTATATCATGCCACTCCCTTCTGGCTTGTAGAGTTTCTGCTGAGAAATCAGCTGTTAACCTTAAGGGAGTTCCCTTGTATGTTATTTGTTGTTTTTCCCTTGTTGCTTTCAATAATTTTTCTTTGTCTTTAATTTTTGTCAATTTGATTACTATGTGTCTCAGCGTGTTTCTCCTTGGTTTATCCTGCCTGGGACTCTCTGTGCTTCCTGGACTTGGGTGGCTATTTCCTTTCCCATGTTAGGGAAGTTTTTGACTATAATCTCTTCAAATATTTTCTCGGGTCCTTTCTCTCTCTCTTCTCCTTCTGGGACCCCTATAATGCAAATGTTGTTGCGTTTAATGTTGTCCCAGAGGTCTCCTAGGCTGTCTTCATTTCTTTGCATTCTTTTTTCTTTATTCTATTCCGTGGCAGTGAATTCCACCATTCTGTCTTCCAGGTAGGTCACTTATCCGTTCTTCTGCCTCAGTTATTCTGCTATTGATTCCATCTAGTGTATTTTTCATTTCAGTTATTGTATTGTTCATCTCTGTTTGTTTGTTCTTTAATTCTTCTAGGTGTTTGTTCTTTAATTCTTCTAGGTCTTTGTTAAACATTTCTTGCACCTTCTCAATCTTTGCCTCCATTCTTTTTCCAAGATCCTGGATCATCTTCACTATCATTATTCTGAATTCTTTTTCTGGAAGGTTGCCTATCTCCACTTCATTTAGTTGTTTTTCTGGGGTTTTACCTTGTTCCTTCATCTGGTACAATGTCCTTTGTGTTTTCATTTTGTCTATCTTTCTGTGAATGTGGTTTTCCTTCCACAGGCTGCAGAATCGTAGTTTTTCTTGCTTCTGCTGTCTGCCCTCTGGTGGATGAGGCTATAAGCTTATAGGATAGATGATTGCTACAGGGGCTCTTTCTTGGTCTGTGTCTCAACAAGTGGCACCTCTCTGTCTTTTTGATTATAGCCAGCCTAGCGGCTATGAGGTGAAATCTTTTTATTATAAAACATATTTAAACATATAGGGAGAGAAAGCAGTATTATGAACGCTCATGTACCCACCATCCAGTTTTAACAATTATCAACATCTTTTTAATCTTGTTAGTGACTTTTAACAGTTTTATTGAGGTATAGTTGACATACAGTAAACTGTATGTATTCCAGGTATACAATTTGATAGGTCTTGAGAGGTGTATATACCCATGAAATGATCACCACAATTAAGATAGTAAACATATCCATACCCACAAAAGTGCCATTTATAATCGCTCCCTCCTACTTTTCCTGCCTCATCCCCAAGCAACCACTGTGTTACTACAGGTTAGTTTCCATTTTCAAGAGCTTTATATATATGGAATAATATATTATGTACTCTTTTGTCAGGCTTCTTTCATTCAGCATGATGATTTTGAGATTCATCTATTTCGAGTGTATCAATAATCTATTCCTTTTTATCATTGATTCCATTCTATAGAGATACCACTATTTGATTTATGCATTCACCTGTTGGTCAATATTTGGGTTTGTTTTTTTTTTTCCTTTCCAGGGCTATTACAAATAACACTGCTATGAACATTCATGTATAAGTCTTTATGTGGACATATACTTCCTTTTCTTTTGGATAAATATCTAGGAGTGGAATAACTGGATCGTATGTTAGGTGTATGTTTAACTTCCTCAGAAACTACCAGACTGTCTTCCAAGTAGTTGTATCATTTTACATCCCTACCAGCAATGTATGAGAATTCCAGTTGTTGCACATCCTCACCAGTCTCTTTAATTTCAGTCATTCTAGTGAGTGTGAGGTAGTACCTTTTTGTGCTTTTAATTGACATTTACTTGACGACAAATGACACTGAGCATCTTTCATTTGTTTATTGTCCATTTGTATATATTCTTTCCTGAAGTGTCTGTTCAAATTTTTTTACCCATATTTAATCAATTATTTGTTACATTATTTTGCTCTAGTCAGAATTTTTATACTGTTTGAGTAGAATAAGGGCTGAATTTTCTGACTCACCAAATTAGGCTTCATTTAGATTTTCTTTTTAATCTCAAATTGCCAGTAAAGCTAGCTGATCACTAGTGACTCTAGATTTTGCTCTCAGACTCGTTCTGTTAATGGACAGAAATGTGTGATTCTACATGGGTTACGCTGCCTCCTAATTTTTGGAAAGAAAGTACAACACAAAAATATCTAGCGCATTATCATCTCATAGTGAGTACCTTTTCTGCTAGATTTGTAACACAGGATTTGAGGTGGGGGGAGAGAAAGAGAAATAGTAGTTGTACTGCCCCCACCTGCCAAAAGAAATTTAAACAAGCAAACAAAGACTAGCATTATCTGATTTAAATTTCTTTTGAAACTTTTCTCTACATATAAATCCTAGCCCCTCTCAGCTGTCACCTCCATTTCCTTCCTTACCCCTCCCACCAGTGCTTTAATAGAGAACAAACCAGAAGGCATTCTAGAATGCTTTTTTCACCAATCAGAAGTAATGGAATGAAATCCAAGACCCTGTTCGGAAGATACGGAACTCTTGTCCCTCGTCTTTCCTCATGCCCTGTACTTACGATTAGTTTTGTCTCATAGCTGAATTTCTAATTTCCAGCATTCCCAAACCATTTTACAAGCATCCTTTTATTATTAAGTCTTACAATACTCTAGTCAGGTGAGTATATGTGTTCATTTTATTTTGTGTGAGTAAACAGAAGATTTTTAAAGATCAAATTACTTCTCTATGGTTTATTTCTTTTCTTAGACAACAGTATACAAAAAATTGACTATTCTGAACTTTAGAAATTGTTTGAACATTCAGATCAGGACAGTCACCATGGATGTGTAAGTCGTTGTATCCCTAATTCCTTACGTTTTTAGCCCTACAAAAGAATTCTATATGTCAGCTCCTTTCTACCCTCTTCATCCCACTTCTGAGAAAGATAAAATTATTTGTGAGTGGCCTAGGCAGTATTTGACCTTTCTGATGCTCCTTTTTGGCATTTAATGTCATGATGTTTAACTTTCATGCCAAAGTAGTTTTGATTTGTTTGGGCTTCTTTATTTTGTTTTTTGAGACTCTTTTCAAGAGTAAAGGAAATATTCAGCATAAAATAATATAGTAAGAAGAATTTTCTCCCATCTTCTCTACAGAGAATCCCTTGTCAACCTAATGAATCATTCAAAGAAGACATCTGACTCTTTTCAAGATGAACTTGAAGATTATATCAAAGTGCAGAAAGCCAGAGGCTTAGAGCCAAAGACTTGTTTCAGAAAGATGAGAGAGGATTATTTGGAAACCTGTGGATACAAAGAAGAGGTTGATTCTAGACCCAGGTGTAGAATGTTTGATCAAAGACTCCCTTATGAACCCACCCAGACCTACCGAAGACCATGCAATATCTCACAAGCAGTGGAGAAGCAGTTACCTCTGTGGCTACCAGCTCATGACAGCAGGCTGAGACTAGACTCCCTGAGCAACTGTCAATTCACCAGGGACTGTTTCTCAGGAAAACCAGTAGCCCTGAACTTTAGTCAACAAGAGTATAACTGTAGCTCATACAGTGTAGAATCTGGAGTTTACAGGCACATCTCCTTAGAAAACAGTACCAGTCCCTATCAAGCTAGTTATAAACAGATACATCAGAAGAGAAAAAGGCACCCAGAGGAAGGCCAGGAAAAGCCAGAAGAGGAGTGGCCCAAGCATAAGAGGAAGAAAGCTTATGAGGAAATAGATTTAGACAAACACAAGAGCATCCAAAGAAACAAAACAGAGGCGGAAACAGTCAGAGTCAGTACAGAAAAGCCTAAGAACCAAAAGGAGAAAAAAAGCCGAGATGTAGCCTCTAAGAAAGAGAAACGTAAGCGTAGAAAAGAGAAAAAGGAACAAGGGAAAGAAAGGACAGAAGAGGAGATGCTTTGGGACCAGTCTATCCTTGGATTTTGAAGCTCTTGCATTGGTTCTCCTGAGGTTAAACTGAAAAAATAGTTGAGGAGCTTGGTTTTACGATGTCCACGTTCATATCGCTCTTTTCATGTGAACAGGTACAAAGGCTAAGTGAACAGAAAACATTTAATGTACTTGCTCTCCAACATGGAAATTACTTTTCTTCTCTTCTAAAATCATTACTACATTTTTCTTATGCATAATGTAATTTCCCTTAATGAGGGTGGCTCTGCTTTTATTCATCAAATTGCTATGATGGTGGAAGTATTTTTCCCTTGGGAGGTCATTTATTTTAAATTGGAGGATTAATAGGCTTTACAGAATCTATTTATTGATTGGCTTTTAGTTTGGGGTGGGTGTTTTTATGTATCTGTGAAGCAGTTTAGATTGATTTCTTTTTCCTTCGCTAGATCTAACTTGCAGTATATTTTCTAGATTGGAAAGTGGAAAATGACATACATTATAATAAGCTTAAGTTACATACAGTTTTAAACGTTTCAAGAAGTCTTGATACAAAATCAGTTTATATTCTGGAAATGTTTATAATATAATAAAGTTCTAATTTCTACAATTTTTTTTGTTTTCTAATTTCTGCATTTTTGAGCACACAGTGATGTGTTCCTATTCAACAAAGATGTTCTTCTGGAAGAGCAATAACTGAGCATATATAAACCCACTTTTTAGGGCAGAAATCTGAACGACCACAATTTTTCCAAATAGTTGAAATTGGGGAATTTATAAGAAAATGCCATTAGAGGGACTTCCCTGGCAGTCCCGTGGTTAAGAATCCGAGCTTCCACTGCAGGGGGCACAGGTTCCAACCCTAGTCAGGGAACTAAGATCCCCCATGGTGTGTGATGTGGCAAAAAAAAAAAAAAAAAAAAAAAGCCATTGGAATATTCTTTCCTGACCAGTGTTTTCATTCTGATAATCCACTTTTTTACGATAAGCATATCAAGTGTTTGAGCACTGCTATTTTGTTGTAGAAAGACTGGTGAGCTGGGAATCTGAATCCCAGGATTCTAGACTCAACTATGCCATCAAATTGTTACGTGACTTTGGGGAATTCACTTTATTTTCCTCATTATCAAATATACCTAGAAGGACTGGCCTCTAAAATGCTTTGGATAACAACAAGATGCTGTGATATGAAAACTCTCTTTGCATTCTACAATGTTGTGCTTACATGTTTATTGTAATATTAACTTTAAAATTACTTTGCTTAAATTATTTTTAATGATATATATTCCCTTCCCCTACTCAACCCTCTGCATATAACCAGTCTCTCCACCCTTGCTAGGCTGCTGCCTTACTCAGCTCTGACACCTCTCTGGGTCCCCACCTTGCCTAGCTTCCTACCTCAGTGGCTCCCAAATAGCAAAGAAGAAAGGAAGGAGGGCTTCCCCGGTGGCGCAGTGGTTAAGAATCCGCCTGCCAATGCAGGGGACATGGATTCAAGCCCTGGTCCAGGAAGATCCCACATGCCACAGAGCAACTAAGCCCGTGCGCCGCAACTACTGAGCCTGCGCTCTAGAGCCCGTGAGCCACAACTACTGAGCCCGCGTGCCACAGCTACTGAGACTGCGTGCCACAACTACTGAAGCCTGGGTGCCTAGAGCCCGTGCTCCGCAACAAGAGAAGCCACCACAATGAGAAGCCCGCGCACTGCAACGAAGAGTAGCCCCTGCTCGCCACAACTAGAGAAAGCCCGCACGCGGCAACAAAGACCCAACGCAGCCAATAAATAAATAAATAAAATACATTTAAAAAAAAAGAAGGAAGGGGAGGAGGGAGAGAGGGTAGGTGACCCATTTTATTTTACACTAATGCCCACAAACCTCCAACCCATCAGGTTTCCCTAGTAAATTTCCCATCCTCAGAGATGTCTTATATTTTCCCCTCTCTCCTCAAACCTTCCCCTCCCTGGTACCTGCCATACAGGGCCCCGTTTCTCTCAGCTGATGACCTCACCTCACACTCCAATAAAAAAAACAAAAGCCTTCAGAGGGGGACTTATTCATTGTCCTACCACTGGATCTATAAACTTCCCTCAAGTATTCTGTTCTCTGTCTTCTCTACAATAATAGTGTCCCTGCTCTTAATAAAGACAAATCCCTCCCCTCATGCACTGAATCCTACACCCTTTTACCTTTTCAAGGACTTCATCTCTCTCCTGCACCTTGAATCTCTCCTCTACTGGATTATTCCTTTATATGCAAACAAGCTTCTGTTTCCCCTCTTCAAAAAACAAAGCAAACAAACAGAAAAACAAAACTCCCTTGACACCCTACATCCTCTTTCAGCTATCTCCTTTCTCTTTCACATCAAACTTGTCTACAACAGCTGTCTATACTGACACCTCTCATTCTCACCTCCACCTATTCTAGTTTCTGTCCCTACCATTCCTCCGAGGCTGCTCTTATCAAAGTCTCCAATGATTTCCATGTTGTCAAATCCAATGGATATTTTTTATTTGTATTCAATTCAGCCTCTCAGCAGCTTCCATTTGGTCAATCAGTCCCTCTTCCTTGAAACATTCCTCTCTCAGCTTGCATAGCACCACATTCTCCTGATTTTTTCCTACCTCCATAGCTGCTGCTCCTTATGGGCTCATTTACTGGTTCCTCTTCCACCCACCTCTAAATGCATCATGTATATTGCATCAGGAGCCAATCCCAGACCACCACTCTTTCTAATCGCACATCCTAAGTGATCTCATCCAGGCTCATGGCTTTAAATTTACCTGTATGTTGATTTGTGGACTGAATGTTTGTGTCATCCCCCAAATTCATATGTTGACATCTAATCCCCAATGTAATGGTATATGGAGCAGGTACCTCCCTACCTTTGGGAGGTAATTAGGTCATGAGGGTGGAGCCCTCACGAATGGGCTTAGCGCCCTGATAAGAAGAGGTCAGAGAGCTAGCTGAGCCACCCAGTCTATGGTAATGTGTTACAGCAGCCCAAACTAAGACAGTTGATGACCTCTAAATTTCTATTTCTAGACTGGATTTTCCCCCTGAGTTCTAGACTCATAACCAACTGCATTTGTTGTTATTTCCACCTAGAACACCAAAAGGGCACTTACATCCCTCGTCACCAGTCATCCTTCCCTCAGTCTTCCTCATCTCTGCAAATAACAGCACCATCTTGATTGTTCAAGCCAAAAATCTCTAAAAGCACACTTGACTCTCTCCTACATCAGAGCCATCAGTGATTCCTCCTGGTTATATCACCAAATTATCTCTCCTACTGTCCAATTCTCCCCATCTTCATTGCCACCACCCTGACCCAAACCATCATTTATCTCTGGTATTATTTTGGTTTTATTTGTACCAAACAGGACTAATAGGTCTGAGAGAAGCTGAAAACTGGGAGAAGTCATCAGAGGCTCTGAGTTGGTGAGCGCAAAACCAGCAACAGGAGTACTGAGAGACAAATAGTATCATGGTCATCTAGCACTGAGGATTTCAAAACTATCCAGCAAATATTTCCTTCCAGAAAGACAAAGCCTTACCTGAAGAGAAAACTGCTAGGCTAAGAAACCTAATAGATCAGGGAAGTAACACCAGAGGTAAGGGAAAGAGAAGGTACCAATAGTAGGGAGAAGGTCCCAGATGAAGAACCCAGAAAATTCTGCAACAGCAAAATACATCTGAGGTTAGAATACCAGCTTGCCAAGCAAGACCCGTAGGCCTGTAGGAAATAGAGCAGAAAAACTTTTCTGAAGCAAACTTAGCTCTGAAAGGCAGAGAAGTAGCCATATTTTGAGCCCTTCACTGTAACAAGAGGGAGCCCACAAGCCATGATGCTGGGAAAGGTACCCTAGGCCATTCCCTCTCCACAAAAATGTGTTCACAGTAGTCCAGGTCACCACATTTCATTTAAACTTTGGAAAGGAGGAGGAGAATATGATCTAGCCACACAAAGTGTTACAAAAGAAAATTGGACTAAAATACTTTGACAAGACACCAGAAAAATGCAAACACAAAGCAGATGAAAACTCTAATCTGACCCTTCAAACAAGGCTGCAAGACATCAAGAAAGCAATTAAAGCTTTAAGAAAAGCACATAAAGTGGAAAAAGAACTCTGAAATAAAATGGCCAGACAACTATGCAACTGAAAAAGACAACAATTAATTCCAAGAAAAATAAAATATAATGCAGTAAAGAAAAAGTAATTGTATTTTTTTAGTCAAAAATATTCATTGAGCACTAAATTTGAGCCAGACATGGTTACTAAACAATGACCTTGACAGACACAGGAAAAAATTAGTAAAAGAAAAAAAAAATCATTTCAGAAATAAAAGGAATACAAGAGAGTATAGACACCATAGAAAGAACAGGGAAATAAACGGTAAGAAAGAGAGTAATGAAGATAATCCAACAAAAGTAAATTTACACCTTGCAAGAAGGCGATAAAGATAAGAGATGAGCAAAGGAGATCCAAATATACTGGAGTCTCTAAAGAAGAAGAATCAATGAAGCAGCACAAACATTTAAAACTCTATTTGTTTATTAATGACAACAATATGTATACACATTTGCAAAACAGTTGACTGTTGACTTTGGGCAACGCATGGAGTGTTCTGAATTCTCAGACCCCAAGACAGTTGAGCTTTCAACTCTGACAACTTTGGCTTTGAATTTCAGTTGGGCACTTAACAAGCTGTGCGTGGTAGATTCTTTGTCGGGGAAAATGACAGCGATAATTTCCCCTCCCTGTAGCCACCCCTTGTTTCCCATCCAATAAGGCTGGGCTTGGCCATGTGACCTGCTTTGGCCAATGGGAGAACAGCAAATAAGATGCGAGCTGGATTTAGAAAGTGCCTGTGCTTGCCCTCATGCTGCTTTCGGAGCTCAGCCACCTCGTACAAGCCGTACTGAATAATGAGAGACTTGTGGCTACATCTGCACCACCCAGGTGCCATTGAACTCTTTTCCTCCTCACCAGATACAAGGCACCTTGGCCACCCAGCCCGCACTGAGCCAGCCCAAACAACTCACAAAATTGTGAGAAATAAATGTTTGCTGTTTTAAATCATAAGTTTTGTGGCAGTTTATAATGCAGCAAAAACTATATACTGCATGACTTTAGGTGAGTTTCTTAATCTGAGTCTCAGTTTTTTCACCTGTGATGCAGAGATAAAACAATTACCCATGGAGGGCTCTTTTGAGGATTAAATGAGGAAATATATGTGAAGTTCCTGGCACAGCATAAATACTAAATAATAAAAAGAACCAACCTCTGCAGGCTGGAATGGTGGCCGTCCTCAGGCTGGGGTACACAGTTGTAGTGCTTTGTAAGCAGTCCTCAAATCTAGAATGCCAGAGGGAGCCTGGGGCAGCAGAGGCCAAGCTACCAGGTGCATGCCCCAGGCCACAGCACTAGTCATTGGGGGTGGGGGGGGAGTGCACTCTAGGCTATTCCCTGCCACTATCACCGCCTGCCACCCCATTCCAGCGCCCCCCCCCCACAGCGATGTATGCAGGGGCACTCAGTGACTTAGCTGGCTCCTCTGGGAACATAAAGTATGGACCTCTGCAGACAAGAAACAAGCCAAAGGGCTT